GTTGTACTTATCATGACCTAACACCAGTTGGAGGACCATCGGAAACTTGGGAGCACTGGACAACTGGTTCCTCCCAGTATGGGACTCCTCAGCAGTGCGCACCCATGACCGCCCCAGGGATTGAACCCGTGGCGTTCACTTTCCATGACCAGCAAGTTACTATTGAGCCACTGGGTCAAAACCCAACCGTCCATATTTCCAACTTCTGTTAGCTGACGATATAGCACAACCACCACGCAATGTCATCGTTGAGTAACTGTCCTTACGACCATCAAGCTTTGCCCCCACCGGTAACGACTTCTCATTGGAATTTCGGGAATACCTCTCGAAGCATGTCACTAATGAGCACCAGTTCAGTTGAATTTTGAAGGAGTTGTGGAGGGGATTTGCAAATATTTCAAGTCGTTATTCATCGTAGACTGACATCAGTTGGGGGAAGAAAGGAGACCTGGGAGCACTGGACAGCTGTTTAGTCCTATTATGGGACTCCTCAACAGTGTACACCTATGACCCCACCAGGGATCGAACCCGCTCCCAGGTTTCCTTTGCTCCTCCAACTCATGTCAGGCTACGATGAATAACAACTTGAAATAAACTTAAATCTCAAAAAGAAACTGAGTCGACGAAATTTGGACCAGCAAAATAATACTCAATTTTGATTGGATTCTTTGAGTTATTCTCAGCCACAGAAGTTTTAATCCTGTTTACATTTAACAATGAAATTTATTCCTAAGTCTTCTATACTTATAGTCAGAATAAAATGAGGCTCCTGTATTTATTTTTATCAATGAAAATAAATCAGTATAACTGTCATTATGTTGCTTATATCACTGGGTACATAAACAATTAGAAATACCCTACTCCATTCGCCTAGTGATCATATGGAAAGTACTTTACTGATTGACTTAAATCAGTTTGATGGAAGCAATCGAATGAAAACCATAGACCTACTTTTGGTGCATTTTGGTACTCGTCAGCAAGGCATATTTGCAACCATAACGGAACTGATGTCTCACCTGAGACCCAAACGTACGTCATCCAGTGCTACAGTCAGAGACGTTCCTACTGAGCCGCTCGCGCCGATAGACAAACTTAAATCAGTGCTGGGTACCAGGGACTTGTCAACTACACAGGTCATACACTAATGAGAAGTTCATGTATGCAGTCCAGTCCTACGCTGGGTCAGTCGTGGGTTGTAGAGATCAGCAGTTAAGTCTCTGATTTCAGCGCAGGGTCGTATGGGTTCAAATTCCCAAAGAATCAACAGTTCTCTTGTTTTCAGGTACGTCTTGCTGATGAATGTCAGTAGGTGAGAAATATAGGTCAAGCAGATCTTCCTGGAGATTGAATTCCACCGTCTAACATATACATATATATATATTTATATATATGCACGGATATTAACTTTACTTAAGTACACTAGAAAAGTAATGTTATCCCTGCTTGTTTAGCTATAACTACTAAACGCTACGCTTTATACGGTTAGTATCACTGTAACTGTTACCTCAGACCGTAATATAGGTATTTATATACAGTGTACTCCTGATAAATTAGATCTGTTCTAATTCAGGCTGTAAGGAGTGCACGGAATTTCTGTCTTCTTCTTAAAACGTAGTCTATAAACTTTTCCCTATGTTACATAGTAAGCAAAGACTAGGAATATGAATGAATATAATTTTGTTCAAGTATAGCACGCAACTGCTTGCTAATGATGATGGTCTGATAATAGGCAAATAAATTATAAGTATATATATATATATATATATATATATATATATATATCAGTTTTGCTTTCCATGCTCAATATAAAAATGTCTCCTCAGTTTTCATTTCCTTGAGGTTAATTTCACCTACCAACATTACAGGAGTAGAAGAAGACGAAAAATATATTATCCGACTTATAAAGAAGGTTAATATTGTACTCTGGTTAGACAGTAGTCGACATTGACGACACATACGCACACCAATGTGAGTGCAGTCTCTCACATGCATAGTTAAACAAGTATGGTAACAATAATGGGGAACAAATTAAGGCTACGGCATAAGTGACCAAGAATAGATGGCATTTCGCGTTACATTCCTCTCTATATTCTTGTATATATGTAAGTGTGTAGCTGCCTAGGTCTACATAGTATAATACATTTTTGAGAAACGTCTTAAATATTTAATGCTTATGCATGTCTAATACTAGTCACAAAAAAAAACAGTCACACTAGAGAATGGAAAAACAAGAAAAATCTTAATCTTCATTTATATCTTCTGATACATTAAACATAAAACTATTGACTATTTGTATAAGACAAACAGAAAGAGAGAATGAATTAAAAAAGGGTGGTATTTAACCTTTTTTGAAGTTAGTTAACCGAAATCAACACTCATATTCTTATTTGTGATTTTGAGAACTTTAAGCATTCCTAACAAAAAGCACATTTATCATATAAAGTAGTATACGTAAAGTTCATCTTCTATACCGATTATTTAAGAAAAGATGTGATGCCCTTTTTCCGTAAACGAAGATAAATCTTTAAATAAATATATAAGTTTACTTTTAGAAATTAATCCTAGTGGGATTAACATTAGCAATAGTCACTTTTACTTGTCAATATATATATATATATATATATATATATATATATATATATATATATATATGAACGACCTTGACATCTCTGTAAAGATTCATTTAAAAACCATATGGCACACTAATTTAATTCAACTTGGTAAGGTTTTCTTTTAATTATCATTAAATGTTATCAGGTATCATATTTGAAAGGAGCAAATATATTAGCTAACAGAAGTATAATGAATCAGAATAAATAAATTAGATCATCAGATATTACTGACATAGTAGTTTTGCTAAAAAGAGAGACAAAATAAATAAGAAGTTAAAATATGTTTCTTTTTTTGACCTATACCTACAAATTTGTACACCAGCTTGATTCATTATTCTCACTTAAAATGTTTTCTGTCTATCGGATAAATGAGAGATAATGAAACTGATATATAAAAAAAAACTCAGAATGAGAGTGTATTCAAAATACAATTTTTACGAAGAAATTGGATGTTAAAAAAAAATGTTCTTCCTCCAAAATGAACGAATTGAAATTAATATGAATATTATTATTAACAAATGATAGTAACTGAAGATACATGGATTCTATTACCTCCAATTGTGTTGCATCAATTCCAACTTGTGTAGATACATCACTTATGAAACTTAGTTTTTATAAAAAACTATAGTTAGATAATATGAAATTTAATTCCAGATAAATAGTAAACTAGGGACAATGGAAATAACTGGATGATAGCTCTTCTCTGATTGGTGCATTAGTTGATGAAGCCATTTATAGGGGTCTTTCAGAAAATGTATATCTTGAAGTTCTAGGCTTGTTGTAGTGATAGTGAATTACAATGAGTTCAGTCTATATACAGGACGTCATGCTAACTTCCTTCATTTCTTTCTTCTTTCATTTTGCATCTTGAACTTGAATGATTACAGTTTCCTAGAGCTCTGATAGCAGCGTGAGAGATTACTTGTTTGCAGTTGTTGCTGAGTGGACTAAATCTAAAACATTTTAGATAAGATATTAAATTATGAAGATCCAAATGTTTGTAATTGAGTTAATATAGACTATCAGTTGGTATACATGAAATTAGCGCATTGTTCAAAAACTATATTACATCAGAAGCCATAGATGTTTGGGTGTACAGAAGTGAATAGTGGAAGAATAAAATACCCAGACGGCATTTTAAGTAGTACCTGTTAACTTCACTCAAATATATACTACCAAGTATTTTTCTCAGTGATATCATCGGATATAATTTATTATTATTTGTCTGTTGGGTTCCTAGTGGAAAATAGGGATTCAGTAGCATGTCTCCATTCCACTACCTTTTCTACAGTCTTTTGAACATCACTCCACGACTGCCCACAAGCTTTCATTTCCTCCTAACACCATCTCCTCCATTCCACCCTCATCTCCGAGGCCTAACTCTTCTTTTCCCCTCTGCATTACACTCGACGGCCTGGTCTGCTGCATGATATCTCCAATTAGCCTTCTCACTGTGTGATCAATCCATCTCCACTTTCTTCTGCATACTTGTTGGGTGATGGGTTCTTGGTTGGTTCGTTGCCAGTCAGAGTGAGTTCCTTGTAGTCTATTCTTATTATTCTGTTAATGCATGTGATCTTCAGTATCGAGTGGGTGTAGGAGGTAGCTGTCGACAAATGTCTGTAGTTTGTTGGAAATGCTTTTCGTGATGCGCCAAGTCCATCAACCACCACAATGAAGCACCGACTTACTTGACTGAATTACTGTTGAAAATCCGAATGTTGTTTACGATTTATGCTGAGTGCAGTGCAGTGCAGTAGATCTCCACACTGATTTCAGGTCATTGAAGGAAGTTGTGTCTTGCTGTCTTTCGGATCCTGGTTTTGACATCCTCATGTGTGCCTGTGCCGCCGCCTATAGTTGAAATGATGCTGTCTAGGCGGTAGGTGAAAGGGATAACTTAGTTTAGTGACTATATAATAAAGTTTCACCAATAGAATCTACTCCTTAACACTGAACATGATACCAGTTATCATTTTTATATAACTGACATTTGTGGATCTTTTTACACCGTGTTCATTTATCCACTTGCCTTTTTCAACTGTATTGATAAGCTGTGGATCACTTAGCATTCCTACTGCCAGAAGTCGTCTGAGTTTTAACATCCCTGCTGATGATACCTAGCATACATGCCGACAAAACAGATCAATTTATTTAGAATAATTATTCAATATGGTCAATACATTCTTTCTTATACAAATATATATTGGTGACTGAAATGAAATAAAAATCTGGCCAGCATCTGGGTCTCGTTGTTCAGATGACACAGCACCAGGCTGGAAAGCCGGTGATCACTGGTTCGAACCTTTTCGCGGCCGGTATTTTCGTTTCATCTTCAATCATCACCCAGTTTATATATATATATCTTCCTTTTATTTCTTTATTTAGAAAACTTTATCAAGGATTCAATGCAGAGAAATGTTTTAATGACATCAGATAACAGGAAACCAAAACGAATAAGAACAGCCTTTTCACCATCACAATTATTTCAGTTAGAAAGTGCATTTGAGAAGAATCATTATGTTGTTGGACAGGAACGTAAAGATTTGGCCACTGAATTAAATTTAACTGAAACTCAAGTATGTTTTCTTTCTGGTCAAACATAAAATTACTGGTTATTCAATGTCTTTTCATTTTTTGTGGAGGTTCTTTTAAATAATGTTTCATTCTATTTTTTTCCATTTTGCATTTTTCCGGTAGTCAAGGTTATAAAGTAATTTGTGCACTAAAAGCAACACACTAAAGGAATAACAGGCTGTAAAATAAACTTATTATTAGCTAGGTGGAGAGAATTGGTAGGGAGCCCTGCTTGACTCAGTTTCGTGTTTTTGGGCACCCTTCAAGAAGACGTACCTGTAACCTCAACGGAACTGATGTCCTACCTGAGATGCAAACCTGTGTCACATGGCCTAATAGCCAGGGACCATGAATGACCTAATGTAGGACTAGACTGAGTATACTGACTGTTCACTGGCCAGTAATAAACTTCTTGTCGTCTATACCTATACGATGATTGAATTCTATCGATCGGTGTGAAGTGTGGTCACCAGACTAGCAGACACCTTCACAATGCACTGAGCAAGATATCAGTTGGGTTATAGATACAATAACTTGCTAACCGATTCACCTACATAAAACGGAGTCACATGATAGTCACGTCAAACTATGGATGACTGAAGGGAAAATTAAACCTGATAAAAATTTAATTTTTTAACTGAGTCATTCCAGGTACAAGTTGGTAACCCAAAAGCTAATGGTTCAATTGATGTCATGACCCCGTGATTTCTTTCAAAATAAGTCTTCACATTATTACTTTGTTCAGTTGGAAGAAAAGAATTAGAGCATGTCGCGTAATCCATTGTATGATTTAACATGTTTCACTTTGCTAATGATGACAATGTTTTCTATGGAGTAGAAAAGAAGTCGCACTGACGAGGATCCATTTATTCTTCCTTTTAGTATCACTTCCCAGTAAATTCACGGCATTTTAAAATGATATTTCATTAAGACGCGCTTACAACATTAGTCCTAGTGTATTATGAAGGCATAAATGCTTTCAACGAAGGTTATTCCGCATGTTTTTTTCAAAGTTGCAGTGTCTTGACATATTTTTGCTTTTTGGTTCTAGCAGTTATTTATCCTTTTGACTATCTGAGACAGCGGTGGTTTGGGAAACTTGTATTGATACTGGTTGATGATTGAAAACGTGGGCTGAAGCAGAATTTGAGTCTCGGATCTCATAACTTAGTTAGTAGAGCATCGGGTTGGTAACCCCATGGTCTCTGGTTCAGGTCGTATCGCAGTCAAAATATTCATTTCACCTTCAATCATCATCCAGTATCCATAAAGCTGTGCCTAACCACTGCTATCTCACATAGTTAAAAGGATAAGAATGTGTCAAAAATTGATTGTTTGTTGTATTTCAGCATACAGAATTTATATTATGATCATACTGTTCGTTATGCGTTAGCGACAACTTTCACCCTATTACAGATTTAATATCCCTGAACTACTCGGTCGGAAGCAGAAAACTGGATTTGTTCTGACTTTAGTCATGTGCTACATTTTATGGATATGAAGTGCCCAAAAAATACTGTCTAGGTGAAAAGTTTGCATACGAACTGAAGAAATGAGATTTTTAAGGAAGGTTAACAGTGATTATGAAACTTCGCTACATACTGTCACTGTTAGATAAATCCAACTGTTTATATTATGCACAAAGCAGGTGATAAGAAATTTACCTTTCTTTGTTAAAGAAGAGAACAAAATAATATTTCAGATGTTTTGGTTAGCCAATTTCAGACAGCTGGCATAAGTTCTCATTCCATAGTACTCATTTGCAAGGTGTTTAAGAAAAACGCTCAAGGGAACCAGTACTATTTTACTAGCCCAAACCTTGGTCACTCTATGATACCTTTAGAAAATATAACTGAGCCAGTCGAAAAATCCCCATACTTATTGATCAGACTGAGAATATGATGGATCCCTGTGATCGACAATAAAGAGTGAAGAATTTGATATTGGTGACCTCTGATCACCTATTCTTTGATCACAAATTTGTGTGTAAATTATTTAATGGCCCTCAATATCCTCAAAGGAATAAATATGCATCAGTTGGAAATCACACAATAAGGTTTAGATACAAACATTAGACTGAAAAATCATTAATCTGATATCAGGTAGTGTATAAATAACATGTAAGTTCAATAGCTTAAAGGCGTTGTTTTTGAATATCTACGCCAAATCAACTTGATCTATGTCCTGTGTTATCAGGTGGAAACATATTCACATACAATCGACGGCTTATTTCACTTCTGATACTTAGCAGTGAATGAAAACCTGGGCCATATTAAATTGGGTCCAGCGTTTACTAGATGATACAAGTGCTGGATGTGAAGAATCAATCGGTAGAAAGTTCTGAGCCTAAATTTCGCGGTTGTCGAGACTCATCAGTAATTTATATCGGTAATATTGCAGGAATTCAAAAGTCTATAAGATTCAAACACTTATCACTCAACTCCAAAGTTACATATTCTACGGCTAAGTTTTGATTCATAAAAGACATTCAGATTCAAGTTGAAATGTAACAACCTATATTCTGCTGACATGTTTCATGCTATTTTGCAAGGAGCGAGATATGTATAAGCCGCTTATGATTTTGTAGTCCATTTAGTGGCTATCAGTGGAACCCAGAATGCGCGTCTCGTTTTATTTGAGAATTATCAGCTAGACATAACTGCCTTCTAGTGAGTGATATTGTCTCTACTGAGGCTGGAACCCGTGAATAGTTGCTTCATGCACCAAAGCGTTATCCATTAGGCCACTGCGGCACGATATTCACCACTTGTGCAAAGAGTATAAGTTGTGGTTTATTGCTACTTGTAATTTCTCGTTACTGTAACTTGTTAAACTGGTACAGGTTTTAAAAAATCATATTCACCAGTCAGCACATATTATTATGTTTAACTAGTGAATAATTTACTATTTATCATGGTTTTTAAAATCCACCTCAATGTTTCCAGTGTAGAAAAGTTTTATTATCAGTATTTAGCTTTAATTTTCACTACCACTCAGAGTTAGACACTTAGTTAAGCAACTGTTGATTTCATTCCACTAGAAGAGGTAATGAAGGGATAGGTTGTGGTGATCAATCCTCTGCTGTTTGTTTATCAAACTAGTTATCAGATACATTCCTACCACTGGCTTACTTTGTTTGAGGTAAGTGTCAGTTATTGTCGATAGGTTGACTAATTGCAGCGGTAGCTTTTGACTTCAGTTCCCTGAATATATAAAATAGAGACAAATTTCTCGAGAACTGTGAAAAGTTTAGCATGTCCAGAAACCCATCCATCTAGCCTAAGATGAAATACTCAGAGATTTACCGGATGGGTATTGTCTTTCAGAATATCATAAAGTACATACTCAGTTGGTGGCACACCCCTTGATGGTTGTCTAGAAAAAAATTATTTTGAAGGGCTTTTGTTTACTCATGAGGAAACCGATCATCCCAATAGTTTCGAATTGGAGTTCAGACTTCACAGTTCGTAGTTTGGATTTCTTAATAGGAATCTAAAGGACAGGTTCTTTTAAAACTATAGATATTTTTTATTTGAGCCTTTGTATGCCTACGCCATCTGTCTGACAAAATCACCTCTTAATTCAAGAAACCACTGTCTGTCCTATGAAGCATATTGGTGTCACGCACTAGGAGCTACTTAGCTGGCCCCAATTTGGATTACATATGCAGTAGACTCCCATATAGTCGACTCAGTAGGTGCCTTTGGTGGAGACTCATCGCTGTTGATTTCAATTTGGTCTAACCGAAACAGCACTTAGAGCTTGGATTATTGGAATGGTAAGTGTCTAAACCACACTAAAGGTGTTAGATTAGGTTTCGGCGTTTAAAAAATGTTTGATATCAAACATCCGAAATAGAAATGTGGACATCATTTTTTTATTTAAGCAAGGGTACTTTTGGTAGACGAATATCAATAGACAGTCAGCAATAAAGTATCTTAATGAATAGTGTATGCACAAATGATTTACAAATTAGATGATCCTCCTTGTTATTTCTGATAGGTGAATAGTTTCTCGACTGTCTGGTTCTGAGGTTAATAAGTTTCACGTTAGAAACCTGCTAACGAAAGTCATAACCTTCATAGTTAGAAGCTACGTTTATTGATCTACTGGTCTGAGTAGTTAAATCAGAATGGTTTAGGCACTAATGAACATTTCATTTGCTTCATCCATCAACGGTGTAACCACTGAAGAAACAAACGGTACATATCAGGTCATATATTAGAAGATGAAGGACCACTTTATGAGTTGTTTGTTGAATGAGAACCCTGGTTTTAACATTTCTCATAGTTAATTACTTTCTCAGTTACTAAGATATAATCCTAAAAGAGAGAAACAACTGTATGTTATGTAAGTCAGTCTAATTTTGCCAACGGAATCTTTGTGGAAGAGTCAGTAGTTTCTTACCACTCATTTTGATTTCTGTACTTTTTCATAGTCTATCCACTGAATAATATTAGTCGAGGTTTATTTGAAAATACAACCGATAGGTGTTCATTATGCAGTTATTACAATTTTTACGGTATTGATGTAACCATACAGTAAAAAAATATTATACATACAAAAAATTAGTCAGCAATGCATGACCGTTGCAGCTTTCTTGTCCGTAGTGCTCTGCACTGGATAATTCCTATCGATCATCACTGAAAAAAGCAGGCACGAATCAACGAGTCCAGCTCATTTTCCTCAAAGTTACAAATATGCCCTGCTGATGAGTGCTAACAAGCCGGAAACCATAATCATGTAGGTTTTCCTGTTGAATAACTTGCACTATCTAACGCCAAAAAAAGATAAGTAGTCAGAAATTAGTCACATATGAATATATCTGTATAGATTATGCTAACTCAATAAACTATACACTGTAAAGAAAGCTAAAGAGTTATATTACAATTCTTCAGAGAATTAACGGATATATATTCATCGCTTAGCTAAAATTGGCTCAACGGGTGTTTATATTTAGTCAGAATCAAGCTGAAATCTATTTCTTCTTGAAAAATGAAAGAAATCCTTGAAGTAGTAGTCGAGTTATTCAGTGACCCAGATTTTACTTAAATACCAGTCCGATGAAACACGGTAGTAACACCTATAATTAGTCTCATCCAGATTAATTAACAGACTATCGTGATTTGTTGGCTTAGTTGATAACAGCCTGGGGTTTGAAGCGATCAGTCATGGGTTTCAATCTTAGCCGGAAAAAAACATCACTCACTGGGACGTAGATACATCCAGCTGACAAATCCCAAATAGGACGAAATGCGAATAGTAGATTCTACTGCTAACTACTACCCAACATTTCTACCTAACTGACGAGTTACTATGCTGATTAGAAATCTTGCAGTTGAGAGACAGGTATTTATACCAAGTTTCAGCATCATTTCTGTGTGACATTAAAATACTAAGACTGGAAAAAATGTTATGATTTTTAAAGAAGAAGAATCTCCCATTGCTATACTGGATCGAATCAGTTGATCTTTGTTGTCAGGTGGGTTCGCATACAAATGCCTCATTACTGCTCGAACTTCACGGTGCTCGTTTTGTCCTGTTTGGGACTCATCAGCTAGATGTACCTGAACCCAAGTAAGTGATGCTGTTCCCATTGAAACTTGAACCTAATAGTCATCGCCTCAAACATCATAGGAATAGTCTAAATAATAATAAAAATAAGACATTAAATTTATGAACTATTCTCTAATCTACACTATTGTAAAAAGCCGCAATGCAAATGAATGCGTCAAATACACAATTTTTTAGTTTGTTCTTACAAAAAACAGATGTGGACTACTACTACTACTACTCAATATCAAAATGTCAAGATATTTATGATAAAAAAAGCATCAAATATATACGAATATACTTTTCTGCGTAACTTAATTTTCCTTCGAATCATTTTCCGACACTGACCTAAATGCATATAGTATAGGGGATGGGGGAGTCGGGGGAACAAGAAGAGGGATACTGAAGAGCAAACTCCTAATGTATGTGTGTGTGTATGTGTGTTTCACTTTGGCAAAACATGGTTGATCAGTTGAATTTAATACAAAGCGAACTTTTCATTCGATTGTCAAATTGATAACATACTACATTTACATCAAAAAGGCAAATAATGAAGCTAAATTATAAAAGGAGTGGAACTTGTAATCAATCGCGTGACTAACTTTTTCAATACATCTATATACATTATATACAATTCACACATATATGCTAAGAAAGAAAACGATTTCCTCTAGTTAGACAAGATGAGAAAAGAGGAGGGTGAAAATAAAACTTTATTGGGAAAAAATGCGGTTATAAGTGTATTTACTTATTTATAGTAGTGAGAATAGTATTCCCCCTTTTAGATATATCAATAATATTTAGAACTTATTGGCTAGATGACCATTTCTAATTAATTAAACATCTTGATAATATATGTATATTTATTAAAATGTTAGTGATAATAATGATAAAGTTGGTGTACACGCAAAATTGTAGTAAATTTAACTTGTTCATTTTAAAAATCACCACAAAAACTGTACTTGATTAGATTAATAAATGGGTATATAAATGACTTTTTTTTATGTAGAAATATGTACTCCTACATAGGGAAAATTCTAATCAAAGTCAGAGGAAGAAAAGGGTTGATAGTGGTGGTGATGATGATGATGATGATTATACTGATGAAAACAGATAGGTACAAAACACGACATACCGTGTGCAAAACATTATCCATATCTATATATGCATTAACTGACAATAATTTCGACTTCATATTTGTGATTTATTAAGTAAGTATACAGGCAAACAACGAGATGAATAAAAAAGAATGAACAGAACTAGTGAATAAATTTTTCGTTTTAATGTTGTTGTTGTTATCATTTGGTCATTTATACATCTTTATTTATGCAGCCAATGATTTTCCTAAAATTATCAGTTATTTATTATGATAGCGTATTATGTTCAATATCGTACGTGATACGCGTAAGACAATATATACGGTCAACTGAATGGTTAATACTTCCGCATACTGGGCAATGTTTGAAGGTGAAAAGAAAATTCAGGTCAAGATAGGGTTCGAAACAGCCATTATCGAAATTTCCATCCCGGGTGCTTTAACAACTCATCTACGACACCTCCCTGATGACCAGATTTCCAGTTCACCTTCAATCATCAACTGTTTTGCTCGACTACCATGTGAATTCGAGAAGTCTTACTACCTCTTGATTGTACTCATATTGGTTTCTTGTTAAGTACTTCTCAATGCGATCCAAAACTACTTGGATTAGAGACGGGTAGGAAACCGGAAATTCTGTGGCCGCTGGCTCGAGTCCCGCCGTGGCCCAAATTTGCATTTCACCCTCAATCATCACTTGGTATCAATACAAGTATGCCAAAACTCGGCTGTCTGAAATAGTTAAAATGATAATAACTTTTAGTTTCTTCTAGATAAAATCTTTTTTTAAAATTGTCTCTCTTCAATGAAACACAGTGATATAAGATATTGAAAGACAATGAATCCAGTGTAGATATATAAGTGCAAACAGTATTCAAGTTGTCATTGCTTTGATTCTAGTCCTGTAGTTGTCATTCATCCAGTTTATCTTGCAGATGTATACATGCATAATCACAACTGATACCTAAGCAAGGAACAAGTGATTACTCCAATGCTTTTGTTGAATATGACTTTCACTTAGGGTGATTAATCATTGACAAGAGATTTCAAAACTAGATTGCTCTGAAGCCAGAGTCTAAACAGAATTTTCCCCCTTAGGCTGTTGGAATCATGGTAACATAACTCTCTGATCAGCAATCAAGTCTCGTAGCTGAGTCGATAGTGAACCAGGAGGGAAACCTTGTGGTCGCCGGTTTGAATCCCGTGGTGATTCATATTGTCATTTCACCTTCAATCACCACAGGTCTATAAACCATGGCTGTCTCAAACAGTCAAAGTGATAATGAATATGATGCTCCTTTCTCGTTGAAGTAGGTAAGGATTGGGATGAGAGGTACTGAACAGGCAACCAGTGTGAGTACGATCAAGTGATAGTGAGACTTTTCGAATTCATAGTGTAGTCGAGCGAAACCGTTGATGATTGAAGGTGAACTGGAAATCTGGTCAGTAGTGAGGTGTCATGGTTGAGTTGTTAAGCACTGGGTTGGATATTCGATGGTGGGTGTTTCGAACCCTGTCATGGCCTAGAATTTCATTTCACCTCCCATCATCACCCAGTAACAAAAGTATAAATAACATGTTGCTCATTATCTAAAACTGTTTCATTGTGTGATACATTTGATTAAAAAGTTAAAATGGAATAATATTACCGGAAAACCCTGGCTTTACTAGAGTAACAATAACAACACTACTCTTACGCTATGATTATTTTTTGTGAAAGGCATCAAATCATTTTCAAAAGATTAGGAATTGATATAAATGGAAGGAAGTTTATTTATTTTAGTTGTGGTTAAGGTTAGGTGATGCAACTTTGAATCCCACATGGGATATGAGTTCTGTAGTTTGTAAATGCGCCTTGTTGACGATTGCCGAAAGGTAGAAAACCTAGGTCGAGGAGGGCTTCCTGCTGATTGCCTCCATCCAACTAACAGTTTGGTCACTGCTTTAAAATGGTCAGTGGTTTTCACATTGGGATTGTGTAGGGTTTGGTCAATTCTTGTTTGGCAAGCAGTAGCTAAAATTTTTCAGCCTGAATCATATTTCACATTATTATTTATGAATTTAAAGATTCGTCTGTCGTTCCTATTTAACTAACTTATTCTCGTATTTGTCAATGTTTGAACCTTAATTGGTTTAAGTAAGTAGTAAACTGCATACAGACAACTTTATCTGTATTCAAATGAAAAGCAATACTAAAGAAAACGTTACATTGAACATTTTGCTCATCGTATAACAACCAATCTCATCAGTAGACGAAAGGAATTCACTGTCTAAATTGTGGAACGCAAGTACTGAGTTGAGTAGCGTAACACTATGGCATGTTATAAAATTGGATTCTAGGCGGCAAAATGCCCTCCCCCAAAAGTATTTGATCACTTTTTTGTTTAGTTGTTAATCGACGGGAAACTTCTCGGTTTCATACCTCAGTAGCCTACTGAATGAAATCCTGGTATCTCAAGTAACGAAAACTGGGTTCGACTTTCTTTGGAGGTATCACCACTGATGATTTTGGAATATATCAAAACATATTGTCTGAACTTCACTGTCATCCATGACTAAAATGAAAAAAAACGATTGGAAAGATAAAATATTTAATCTACTCTGACCTAAGTGAGGCTGGATTATTTTAAAAATAATCGGGCACAAAGTTGACATGGTATTAAAGAGATGCCGATACTAATCTATTCAGACTTTTAATCATACATAAAGAGGTTATTGTGTTTGTGGTTTAAAGAAAACTAGAATTTCTGAATTGTTGGCACACATAACTAGAGCCTCGAGGAAACTGATGTCTCGTGTGAGGTTCTAACCCGAGTCACCCAATGTTGCAGTCAGGCACGTGATGATGAGCTCCTAGCTTGGTGATCATATTAAAAAAATGATCGTTAGAATTCGCTGAGCACTGAAGACTAGACAATATGAATTTGGTTGCTCTCCAGTAGTCAGTAAACGTATGAATAACTTGTATTATCATGTAGGATGACATTAATGGTGTTTTTAATTTATATTCTAATAGATATTATGCAGCTTTGCTTGTTTGCCATTAGAGTAGTAGACAGAATAGATCGAAATTATTTTTTAATTTTCTTTGAACAGGTAAAAGTATGGTTTCAAAATCGTCGAACAAAGCACAAACGTTTACATACTGATGCCAAAGATGTTTTGAGTAATTCAACTACCAAAGAACGAAGATTAATATCCGATAGTGATGATGATAGTGATGATGGTGACGAAGATGTTGAACAAGAGGGAGAAAATGAAGAAGAGAATTTTGAAAATTCAGTTTGTCATCCAAACCAACTCAGAGTGGATTTTATCCAGGCACCATTTTCAAAACGCTCATTAACTGAATTCTCAAATGGAACAGAAATTAAAACATTTCAATCTACTACAAAAAACAACGAATTTTCTCCTACAGATGAACATCAACGTTATAATATTTTAAAGTCGAATTGTCTTTCTGATAACCAACTGATTAATGATTCATCTGATAATCAGTATGATAAATCTCGCGCCTATCCAAAATGCGATTGGGATTCATTTAAACAAATCCATGACAATTTCAAAACAATGGCTGAAATACAAACTGAACAATTGTCTACAAATCATTCAATTTTGCATTCATCACATCATATATTACATTCAGTATAGGACATACAAATCAACAATTGGAACCTTCATAACATTCATACAGTCAAACCTTATAATTTTTACAAAAAAAATGTATGCTTGAGAATTGAACGGATTTTGTTTATCTACTTTTGTGCTGTGTTTTGTTCTTTGAATTGATTTCCTTTTATTTTGTCTCTATCTGCAATCTAGTCATTATGATGTTTAGATACCATGAGTTAGGTAGATGTTACAGGTGATAATGTTAGATCTTCTTTAATTCATAATATTGTGATTCATTTCGAATCCAATTTCAATGGAAGGCGTTGATGATCCTAAAGTATTTAATCATCAATCAAATACATTCGAAATACAATAATTAACTGTAATCATATCATTCTGTATAAATTACTAGTGGGTAAACTTTCTTCATCATTGTGTTGGAAATAGTTTACTGTTTTACAACAAATAAACAGTAGTCATAATATACATGTTTATTTCCTTCTGAAAAGAACCTTTAGCATGGGTGAGGTTTTAGCAGAAAAACATTGGTCACTGAAACTTATTTCAAGATATAGCTGAAAGGTATAAAGGTTATTGGATAGCCCAAGTCAGTCATACTGAAACGCTGTTTAATTTGAGTATTTCAACACTTGACACATCGATAGAGTGTATCTGCAGTGTTGAGTGAATATATACTCACTTACAGAATCTATCTTGTACTGAAAGTCAGACACAGTAAAGTCAGGCTACAAATTACTGTTATTTGTCCCTCGAGTTCCTAGAGGAACATAGGGATTCAGTAGCATGTCTCCATTCCACTACCTTTTCTACAGTCTTTTGAACATCGCTCCACGACTGCCCACAAGCTTTCATTTCTTCCTCACACCATCTAATCCATCCCACCCTCATCTCCGAGGCCTAACTCTTCATTTCCCCTCTGCATTACACTCGACGGCCTGGTCTGTTGCATGATATCTCCAATTAGCCTTCTCACTGTGTGATCAATCCATCTCCACTCTCTTCTGCATACTTGTTGGGTGATGGGTTCTTGGTTGGTTCGTTGCCAGGTAGAGTGAGTTCCTTGTAGTTTATTCTTATTATTTTGGTAATGCATGTGATCTTCAGTATCGAGTGAGCGTAGGAGGTAGATGTCGACAAATGTCTGTAGTTTGTTGGAAATGCTTTTCGTGACTCGCTGAGTCTGTCAACCATCACATACATACACTGACTCACTTAACTGACATTAGTGATGAAAATCCAGATGTCGTTCACACCTCATGCTAAGTGAAGCGCAGTGCAGTAGATCTCCACACTGGTTTCATGTTTATGAAGACCTGTCTTGCTTTTCCAATGATGGCTTTGACATCCTCATCTGTGCCTGTGCCATCACTTCTAGTTGAGACGACTCTGCCTTGCCTAGGTAGGTGGAAGAGACTACTTCCTCAAGGTTCATTTCATCCATCGTGATTCATGCCTCTTGTTGTCGTCTTTGTTGTTGTTGTTGTTAGTGCTGGTGGTTGGTTGGTTGGATCTCTTCATCACCTACATCTTCTCCACATTCACTTGCAGTTCCGTCTTCGCTACCCTGCCTCTTCTCTCAGCTTGTTGGTTTTTGCCTGTAGATTGTCGAGCTTGTGTGACAAGACATCAGACATAAATCATCATCGTTGGCGAAATCCAAATCTTCTCTTAGGGTCTTTCCATCGGTCCAACCAGCGTATTCCCCTCTTCTCACTCCTCACAGTTTCTTGCATCATCCAGTCAAGTCAAGTCGAGTCGAGTCGGGTTGAGTCGTGTCGACCACAATCAGGAAGATGGTTGGTGATAGTAGTTGGTAGTCTTCTCTTACTCCTGTCTTCACTCCAGTGGCATCACTCAGCTTTCTGTTGTCAATCACTTGACATGTAGTATCATATGGTATATAGTTGTTGTTGGATGAGGTTGATGGAGGTTTGTGGTACTAAAACCGTAGTGTTGAAGCAGGTACCAACTTACTAGTGGGTCGATGCTATGGAAGGCCTTTTTAAAGTGGATGAAGTTGAGTTTGAGTTGAGCTGACTGCCATTCTGTGCTCTGTTGTATGATGTTGCGTAGTGTAGTTTTGCAGTTTGATCCGCACATGGTTTGTTTTTGTTGAATTCAGCCAAGCAGCCTGTTCCGGTCGTAATTTTGAATCCAGCGCATATCAAAGTGACATTTTAATGTTTGATGTAAACCTGGCTGAAAGGGAGAGTTGATGCCTGAGTTATTTGTCAGAGGTGTAAAGAGACAACAGGCAAATTTTCTAGTCATTACTTGCCAGATAAAGTAGTACTATCCAAAAAGTGTTTCAGGATATTTGTTACTGTGACGTACCAGATGGAAAAGCAATAGTACTTGTTCCACAGCTGTTACTATCTCTTTCAAACGGTGTGGGATTCGATTGGAAACCATAGCTGCTGATGAGACTACCAATAAGTCAACTATTTCGCTGGAATATATTTCAACAAATAGTAATTCTGTACTCAGGAACAAATAACTTCGGTACATTTTTCTGCTTTCTGGTCGAAATGCAGGACACATAGAGTGAGTCAAAAAATGTGATAGGGTGTATGCACACTGATCAGGATTCAGTGTTAACTTGAAAAATATGTAGTATGGAATTCTAGTGAAGTAACTGAATGGTGATATGTTAGTTGGTTAGAGGCAATCGAATAGAAGCCCTAAACCTGGGTTTGGTGTTTGATGGAACTCATCATCGAAGCGTATCTGTAACTCCGAAGGGATTAATGTCCCCTGTGTAAGTGGAACATGAGTCACCCAGTGTTGCAGTGAGCGACGTCACCACTCAGCTGTTCGGGTCGTGACTGATCTCCTGTGGGACCGGATCGCATACATTCATTGGCCACTAGAGAGCAACCAACTTCATGTTTTCTGGTCCAGGTGCCTACCAAATTCTATCGATCATTATGCAATGTGATCACCAAGCTAAAAGGCTAAGCATCGCAATCGATAGAATTCATTCAGTACTTAGGACTAAATAACTTGAGATTGGTTGCTCTCTAGCTGCCGATCAATGCACGAATGGTGGTATGTTATCCTTCTCTGAGTCTCATATGTTTGTGTGTAATGCTTAGGAGTCACAAAGTAAGATGAAGTTGTTTTACATTTCTTTCAAGCGCTTAGTGATTATTCTTCTAAAGTAAATTTGTGAATAAGCTATTCTGAATACTTCAGAATAGTCAATATTGTCAAGATCCTAGTATAAGAGGCAAAAGATTCAAAAAACAACAGAAACTGAGTGATCAAAATTAGTATTCGAAAATTTTTATTTCAGTCCACATATTATTTATTGAATGTCATTCTAACCGTCTAAGACAGCCGTAGTTTGGAAGGTAAAATGGAAACTTGAGCCGCAGAAGGACTACAGTCTCGGATCTCGTAACTTAGTTGGTAGATCATCGGGCAAGAAACTGGGTGGTCGCTGACCTATTGAATAGTTTAATTGATGGAATTGTTAAAAATAACTTCATTACTCATAACTGCTAGATTTCGTGTTTTTATTGGAGAATGATAAAGTTGTGTTCAGTCTTCCCTCAAAATTTATCTTGAATATATATGCCACTGGATGAGTGAAGTGAATACAAGCGGTCAAATCAAATGACAGGATTTCAATTACGAACATTCATGAATTAGATAAAAATATGGAAATAATTTGACTTTAGCAGATACAGAAAAATGAAAATGGTGAGATATTTCTCTCAACTTCTTTCATGAGTACTCTGCAGCATACGAATATACCTCATTTCGTGATTATACACAAAGTTAAAGTTAACGGTAGAAGGCTATTTGTCATTGCAGTTATTTCGTCAACATAAGCCTGAGTATTTCTTACTGTCAGTATCCGTTTATAAAATATGTTTACAGAAAACTCTAGGCCAAAGTTATTGACTTCTTTTGGTAATCAGTAAACTATGTTTTCATATTTATAGTAATAACCGATAGAGGCCAACACCGGAGTCTAGGACGCACGTCCCGTCCTACATAGGACTCGTCAGCTGAATGTACTTGTTTTCCAATGAGTTTGTTGTTCCAACCAAGATTGAAAAGCAAGACCAATCACTTCAGTACGCCACTTTCAGTTAATGGTCGTTGTTAGTTATTCAGGAGTGTGAAATGAACTGAGCATATGAAACTATTTTCCAGGATTTATCATTCACATGACATGCGTTGTATGAATAATTTGAACAAAAACGAAGACAATGTAGGCTTATATACGTTTTTTCCTAAAGTTGGATTGAATCAAATCGAAATGCACTCAACGACCTTGGGCAAATTCGTACAGTAGGCGACGAGCCATACTTATTGTGCGAGAGCTACTGATAATATCTAGGTGATCAAACCTCTGTAGGTGTAGCGGGGTTTGAACTTTTGACCCAACTGTTGAAAACCATCTCCCTAATCTAATGACATACAGTTCCACTTTCGCTGGAATAAAGTCAAGTGAAATTGTTAGGACGCCTAATGACTTCCATCTTGGTGCCTTAACAAGGCCAGAAATCATGAAATAATCTAACATCCAATCAGATCTAGTAAAAAGCCTCCATTAATGACACGTTTTTAACACATAAATACCTTACTCTATAGTTTAGTTATATAAATGATTTCGGACCTTTTCAAACAGTGTGGAACTTATGAAGATCATCTGTAAACGTGTAAATACTCAATTATTCTATAAATAGTCTTATAGTACAACTTCTGCTAACCTTATACCATTTGATCTTTCTAAAGAAATTAAGTAACCATTAAAGGTGGAATCTGACGCTTGTTATTTAAAATCTACGCATATGTTGCTGGATTTAAGTCGTACATGGAAGGTACAGCATTATTAACAAACATTTAATTTTTCTAATGATGGCTGAAGCATTACCAAATATTCACTAAGAATAGCTTAAGGAAGCAAAATGAAGTATACAAATTTCTCGTGAACCAATGAATACATTTTTCAACCTGTAATATTTTATGCCTGAGTACAGTTAATGCAATCCATTTTCAGTAAAATAGTTGATGCCATATGGTGAACAGAAAAGCTAAAATTACGAAACAAGCAGTAGGGCTTCAGGAAATTACTTCATCTTTCCATTAATCATGCATTTTTTCTTCAACTGATGTCATTTCTTGAAGAACGCCACCCTGAAATCAGTTCACTCCCCCT